TAGGGATAGGAGTATACAGTAGCTAAGTCTCTATAATCCATGCATCCTAGGAAGTATCCTGGTCACACTAGAAACATATTAAGAAAAACAGAGAGAGATAAGGACTGAAAATAGAAGTAAAAAAATCAGTCAAAAACAGACTGATAATTAGCAGTAATAAAGCCTCTCTCCCTGTAAAGCTAGCTAGATAGGCATAGGAAAGAAAAGAAGAAAACGATATAAAATAAAGTTAAATTAAATGGTGATCATGGTGCTCCAAACACCAGTGCCCAGTGCAGAAAAAACGCCCAACGTACGTTTCGGTGCAGAGAGATGCACCTTCGTCGTTTTTTACTACCTCTTGATCTATACTACCCTGGGCTGGCATAGGATTGTAGGTTCACTTGTATATACTTTGTTTAATTAGGGTCTCTGACCATATTATTTCTAATAGCCAGGTTCTATATTTGGAACATCGCGCTATACATATACATATTTTTTCCAGTCAATGCAGTAAGTTTCATTCATATAATTGAGACGGTCTGCATATTTCTTTGTTCTTGTATTCATTAAAAATAAAATTCAAATTAAATATTATTTCAAAACTCAAAATAGCCAAACTGAAAGCAAATTTTCTGACTTTAACATTTTATTCTAAATTGTGAAATGTAATTTGTATTACATTTCCGACTGTTCTCACTTTAGTAATTAAATAACCTGTAATATCCACATATATATCTAAAAACATAAACATACACATTTATACACATTATCTACGTAGATCTATAATAAAGGTTTAAAGTGCAATAACAGGGACATAGACAACAGGTGGAAATTATAGGCAATTAGCAAGACACCCCCAATAAAGGAGTGGTTCTGCAGGTGGTGATCAAGGACCACTTCTCAGTTCCTATGCTTCCTGGGCTGATGTTTTGATCACTTTTGAATGCTGGCGGTGCTTTCACTCTAGTGGTATGAGACGGAGTCTACAACCCACACAAGGAGCTCAGGTAGTGCAGCTCATCCAGGATGGCACATCAATGCGAGCTGTGGCAAGAAGGTTTGCTGTGTCTGTCAGCGTATTGTCCAGAGCATGGAGGCGCTACCAAGAGACAGGCCAGTACATCAGGAGACGTGAGGGAGGCCGTAGAAGGGCAACAACCCAGCAGCAGGACCTCAACTTCCACCTTTGTGTGAGGAGGAACAGGAGGAGCACTGCCAGAGCCCTGCAAAATGACCTCCAGCAGGCCACAAATGTGCATGTGTCTGCTCAAATGGTGAGAAACAGACTCCATGAGGGTGGTATGAGGGCCCGACGTCCACAGGTGGGGGTTGTGCTTACAGCCCAACAACGTGCAGGAAGTTTGGCATTTGCCAGAGAACACCAAAGTTGGCAAATTCGCCACTGGCACCCTGTGCTCTTCACAGATGAAAGCAGGTTCACACTGAGCACATGTGACAGACGTGACAGAGTCTGGAGATGCTGTGGAGAACGTTCTGCTGCCTGCAACATCCTCCAGCATGACCGGTTTGGCAGTGGGTCAGCCCTCCATGTGCTTGCCAGAGGTAGCCTGACTGTCATTAGGTATCGAGATGAGATCCTCAGACCAACCATATGCTAGTGCGGTTGGCCCTGGGTTCCTCCTAATGCAAGACAATGCTAGACCTCATGTGGCTGGAGTGTGTCAGCAGTTCCTGCAAGATGAAGGCATTGATGCTATGGACTGGCCCGCCCGTTCCCCAGACCTGGACCCAACTGAGCACATCTGTGACATCATGTCTCGCTCCATCCACCGTCACATTGCACCACAGACTGTCCAGGAGTTGGCAGATGCTTTAACCCAGGTCTGGGAGAAGATCCCTCAGGAGACCATCCGCCACCTCATCAGGAGCATGCACAGGCATTGTAGGGAGGTCATACAGGCACGTGGAGGCCACACACACTACCGAGCCTCATTTTGACTTGTTTTAAGGACATTACATCAAAGTTGGATCAGCCTGTAGTGTGTTTTCCCACTTTAATTTTGAGTATGACTCCAAATTCAGACCTCCATGGGTTGAAAAATTAGATTTCCGTTTTTTAATTTTTGTGTGGTTTTGTTGTCAGCACATTCAACTATGTAAAGAAAAAAGTATTTCAGAAGAATATTTAATTCATTCATTCTAGGATGTGTTATTTTTGTGTTCCCTTTATTTTTTTGAGCAGTGTATATTTTACCATTGGGCACCTCTGCCATATACATGTTCTTTTTTTTCAACATGCTTGGTCTTAATTATTGCAGAATTTATATTCACTGACCTTTCTTAGACAAACCCACTTCTGTATTCCACAGTGATAATTTTCAGTGTTACATATCTTTAATTAAAGAGAAGTTTAGGTGCTCTCTATAAAACCAAAAAGTGTGTGAGGCAGCAGTGAACCAGCAGGACCTCCCAATACCTGCTATATAGAGAACAGAAATGTGGAAATAAGAAATGTGGTAAACCGCGCCCAAAATAAATTGTGTTACAATAATAAAATATCATACATACATATAGATCTCAGTTAGTACAGCATGGAAAAACCTCAAAAGAGATAAGAACAATAAAATAATAGTGCAATATGTTCTAAATTATAAATGGTAAAATCTGTAAAAAAGTTTTTAGATGAAAGGCAAACTCACACTTTGCAGAGCTGCTAAGAGCTCTGCTGTATAGTGCCTGGACGGTACAAACCCCGTCTTAGGATATGTAGATGTTAGGATGTCCAAACTCATATGTATGAAAAAAACCAATGGTATCTATATTTTCTATTCCAATTTTTGGTTTTGATATTGTACCATTGGTTTTTGTATTGTTTTTTTTTCATACATATGTTTGCTGAGTTTGGACATCCTAAAATCTACATATCCTAAGTGTGATTTTGCCTTTCATCTAAATTTTTTTTTACAGATTTTACCATTTATAATTTAGAACATATTGCACTATTATTTTATTGTTCTTATCTCTGTTGAGGTTTTTCCATGCTGTACTAACCAAGATCTACATGTATGTATGATATTTTATTATTGTAACACAATTTTTTTTTGGGCGCGGTTTACCACTTTTCTTATTTCCACACATCTTTAATTGTATTTTAACTGTGTCTTGTTTTTCTTGTATTAGAGGAGAATAAACATTTAGGGAAAATACAAACACAATTTTTAAAATGCCTTTCTCTAACTATTTTTACTGCACAATATCACTTGTTTTCTTAACTTTTTTCCCCACATCTTTTGTTTTCCTGAATATAACACTTCTGAACTCAAAGAAAATTAGTTAAGAAAGATCAATGTGTCAGATGCTCGTTTATTTGAAAAACAGCTTTTATTGAATTTTGCTGTTCATGACATGTGCCCTGTTTATTGACTTGTTTCACCTGCACGATAACAAACAGCCTAGAGTCAATTCACAGTATGACACAAAGAGAAAGAACTGTCAGGTTGCACAGATTATATGACAAGGAATAGAACACTTTAAAATTGATGTATTTAACATATTGCTTTATTACAAAAGGGTTGATAATTAAAGAGGTACAAAAAGGTAAGGACCCCTGCCGAAAAAAGGAAAATAATAGGAAACAAATTAGTGTTCCCTGATGGATTTATGGGATATGTTTATCTCAGATGAATATTTATACTGATCACATAGGATAAGTGGAACTGTTCAATAAGCTGATAGCAGTCATAAAGCAGGCTATTCACTTTTTTTGGTGAATCAGGCTGTTTACAGTGATCTCCCAATATATCAATCATGTACATAGGCAGCCACTACTGGTGCTTTCACAGAAAGATAGAAACATAGAATGTGATGGCAGATAAGAACCATTCGGCCCATCTAGTCTGCCCAATTCTCGAAATACTTTCATTAGTCCCTGGTCTTATCTTATGGCTAGGATAGCCTTATGCCTATCCCACGCATGCTTAAACTCCTTCACTGTGTTAACCTCTACCACTTCAGCTGGAAGGCTATTCCATGCATCCACTACCCTCTCAGTAAAGTAATACTTCCTGATATTATTTTTAAACCTTTGCCCCTCTAATTTAAGACTATGTCCTCTTTTTGTGGTAGTTTTTCTTCTTTTAAATATAGTCCCCTCCTTTACTGTGTTGATTCTATTTATGTATTTAAATGTTTCTATCATATCCCCTGTCTCGTCTTTCCTCCAAGCTATACATGTTAAGTTCCTTTAGCCTTTCCTTGTCAGTTTTATCCTGTAATCCATGAACCAGTATAGTAGCCCTTCTCTGAACTCAATCCAAAGTATCAATATCCTTCAGGAAATATGGTCTCCAGTACTGCGTTCAATACTCCAAGTGAGGTCTCACCAGTGTTCTGAACAGTGTTCTTCTACTGCTAACACCTCTCTCTATACAAGAACATTCTGCTAGCATTTCCTGCTGTTCTATTACATTGTCTGCCTACCTCTAAGTCATGTAGTCTGTTAGTCTGTTAGTGAGTGTGTGTGTCTGTGTCTGTTAGTGAGTGTGTGTTTCTCTGACTGAAATAAACCCCTAAATCCCTTTCCTCAGATGTTGGGTTAGGATTCTATCAAATATTCTGTACTCTGCCATTGGGTTTTTTACGTCCAAGATGCATTATCTTGTACATATCCACATTAAATGTCAGCTGCCACAGCTCTGACCATTTTTCTAGTTTACTTAAATCATTTGCCATTTGGCTTATCTCTCCAGGAAAATCAACCCTGTTACATTTCTTAGTATCATCAGCAAAAAGTAAGTGAGTTAGTGAGTGTGTGTGTGTCTGTTAGTGTGTGTTAGTTAGTTAGGATAAGTGCTCCCTCGCCGACTGCAGCAACTGGCTGGCCACCCAGCAGCCCCACTGGACCCCAGGAAAAGCGAGGATCCATGCCAGCACTCTCAAAGGCAGGGAGGGATTGAATTAAAAAAAAATGTGAGTGTGTTTGTGTGTGTGTGTCTGTGAGAGAGAGAGTGTGTGTGTGTGTGTGTGTGTGTCTGTTAGTGAATGTGTGTGTGTCTGTGAGAGAGTGTGTGTGTCTGTTAGTGAATGTGTGTGTCTGTTGGTAATAGACACACACACATTCACTAACAGACACACACACACTCTCTCACAAACACACACACACAAACACACTCATATTTTTTTAATTCAATTCCCCCGGCCTCCTTACCTTTGGGAGTGCTGGTGTGGATTCTCGCTTTTCCTGGGGTCCAGTGGGGCTGCTGGGTGGCCACCTGGTTGCTGCAGTCAGCGAGGGAGCACTGATCCTAACTAACAGACACACACTAACAGACACACACACACTCACTAACAGACACACACACTCACTAACAGACTGTTAGTGAGTGAGTGTGTGTGTCTGTGTCTGTTAGTGAGTGTGTGTCAGTGAGTGTGTTACTATGTGTGTGTCTGTTAGTGTGTGTGTGTGTGTGTCTGTTAGTAAATGTGCTAGTATGTGTGTCTGTTAGTGGGTGTGTTAGTGTGTGTGTGTGTGTCTGTTACAGAGTGTGCTAGTGTGTGTGTCTGTTAGTGTGTATGCGTGTCTGTTAGTGAGAGTGTATGCGTGTCTGTTAGTGACTGTGTGTGTCTGTTAGTGTATGTGTGTGTCTGTTAGTGAGTGTGTTTGTCTGTTAGTGAGAGTGTGTGTGTCTGTTAGTGAGTGTGTTACTATGTGTGTGTCTGTTAGTGAGTGTTTTAGTGTGTGTGTGTGTATGTTAGTAAGTGTGTTAGTATGTGTGTCTGTTAGTGAGTGTGTATGCATGTCTGTTAGGGAGAGTGTATGCGTGTCTGTTAGTGAGTGTGTGTCTGTTAGTAACTGTGTGTCTTCTAGTGACTGTATGTGTCTGTTAGTGAGTGTGTGTGCCTGTTAGTGAGTGTGTATGTATGGTGTCTGTCAGTGAGTGTGTATGTCTGTAAGCTAGTGTATTGTGTGTGTCTGACACTGAGTGTATATGTGTCTGTCAGAGAGTGTGTATGTGTATTTAGAAGGCGGGGCAGGGGGTACCTAAGTTTTGTCATGCCTAGGGCAGCACAAAACCAGGATACACCACTGACCTGCACTCGAGGGTAGCTTAAAATTCCCCTGCCTTGTGTTGATCTGCAATAAACATAGAAGTAAGTCAATGTTTCAGTTTACATTCCTGATGAAAGTTTAGAATGTAAACGCAAAGGTAAACTTTTTTATTTTAGAAATCTTAAGAAAATCTAAGCTGCATCTATGATTGTGATGGAAGTCCTGGGAGTGTTATTACAGAAATCTGACAGATTAAGCACCAAGTACCCAATAGTTTTTCTACTTTATGCACATGTAGATCTATATATTTACTTGAATCTAATGCTCCATCGAATCTAATGCACACCTCAGTTTTTGAAACGTCGAAGCTGAAAAATGGTTTTGCTGGTGAATGTAATGCGCATTTATACAAGCAGAAACTACTATACAACATTGACCTACAATGAAAATGTTTATTGCAGTATACCATAGTAACATTGATGGTATCTTAATTTTAATGTTACATATTAAGTCTATTCTTTCTCAAGCCTTCTTTCAGGAACGAAATTTGTCTGTGTGGATTCATCAGAATGAAATTCGCCTGAATGAATTCGCCAATTTGAATTTGTCTGTTTGAATTTGTCTATTTGATTTTGCCTGTTTGAATTTATGAGTTTAAATTTGTGAGTTTGAAATCACCAGTTTTAATTCACTAGTTTGAATGCTCCAGTTTTAATTCGCAGAATGAAATTTGACAGAAAATTCTAAATTGTGTCCCGAATGTAATGTGCCATCGAATCAAATGCGCATACAAATTTTGGAAACTTTATTTTCCATTGCATTAGATTTAAGTAAATATAGTATAAATCTATACGAACCTGCACTCGAGCGAAGCTTAACATTTCTCTGCCTTGTGTTGATCTGCAATAAAGATAGAAGTAAATAAAAAAGTCAACATTTCAGTTTACATTCCTGATGAAAGTTTAGAATGTAAACTGAAAAGTAAACTTTTTTATTTTACAAATCTTAAAAAATCTAAGCTTTATCTATGATTTTGAAGGAAGTCCTGGGAGTGCTATTACAGAAAATACCTAAATACGAGATCTGTCCAAAAAAATCTAGCCATTGTTAATAAAATTAGAACGGTTTGCGCGACATCGATGTAACTTGGCAGCCAAGGAGAGTAGACTGGAATGCACATGCATGAACAATGACAACTTCACTGGAATAGTCAATGGGGGTGATAGACACTGTTGAGTGAGCATGTGTACTGTGTTTTCATTGCATTCAAAATGACCGAGAGAGTACAGCAACAAATCTGCATAAAATCTTGAATTAAGCTTGAACGTTTATCTGCGGAAACTATTCGGATGATTCAGAAGGCTTTCCAGGATGATGCAATGAGTACAATGCAAATAAAAGTGTGGCACAAATGCTTCAAAGATGGTCAAGAATCTGTTGAAAGACTTTGCACCCTGTGACTTCGGGCTTTTCCCAAAACTAAAATCACATTTGAAAGAGATTTCAGACCGTCGATGAGATTCAGGCGAATAAGACAGGCCAGTTGATGGTGATTCCAACAAATAATTTTGCAGAGTGTTTTGAACAGTGAAAGGGACAATTGGAAACTGTGTGAGGTCCCAAGGTTCCTTCTTTTAAGGGGACTGTATTATAATTGTCCTTTGTACAATGTTTGTTTATTTTGTATCTTCTTCAATAAATGTCTCTATTTTTCATATTACATGACTGGATACTTTGCAGACAGACCTCAAATAGTATATACGTATTAACTGGATATAGTTATTAAAGAGACCTATCAGTAGATTGTTTCTAATTGAGTTATGATGCTTTTAAGTACACACATACAAACAAAATTAAAATACATTGCACAGCTTTTACACCACAACACATACTTATTATTAAAATAAATATGTGCATTAGCACCATGTGGTTGTATTACTAATATTCTCTTTTGTGGTCTAGCCCTTTTATGTAATTGAAAATGATTAATGGTATGTGACAGAGTTTGCAGAGTAAATTAGCACCATTCATTTTCTCATATCATTATATAACTTGAAATCATTTGGCCGTGCATAATATTACTCTCCAATGAAAACAACACAACACAATAAGTATTAAAAAAAAAGACTGATTTTAGTTACTTTAAATTATATGTATTGCATCCCCATTAAAACACCTGTTAGCCCATTTGATTTTAGTTTAATTTAAAAAAAGGATTTCATTTTGCTTACAATAATTATTGGGCTTAAAAATAACATATTTTGAATATATAAATGATCCATTCCCATTAAAGCAAATTAAAGGTTCTCAAGTATCCTCAAATGTCTCCCCTGTTATTTTCTCATATTATAATGACATTACAGTGTCCAAAAAGCTATTATTTTCAATGGTCAATGAGGTGTAAACAGTCACAGAAACCAATGCTATATTATAATTGAAGTCTCTTAATTATGCCTACATTCATATTTAAATTGCATTCACCTTTCAAATATATTTTTTCTTTTGCATTTGTATTTAACTTCACAGTTGTTGGAATATCATATTTTGAAGACGTAATTGAAATCAGGCAAGGACAGACACTGAACACAATATAAATTCTAGACGCTGTTGTCTGTATTTTGTTACTGGCACCTCCAGTAGTTTAAAGTGGCACTGTCACCATTTGGGAACTTTTAGAAATTCACTGGCATCTCTGCTGGTGGTGTGGTGGCCGGGGGGGGAAGGTAAAGATGAGTTTTCTTCCTTGAACCTGTCCCTCTCTGCTGTAGTCTCACACATGCATGTCTAAGGGGGATCTCATAGACATAGCAAATTCCCTGCAACCGTCACTGATGATGGCTGCATGGTTTGACTCTGTAGCTCCACCTCACGTCAGAGAAAGTCAGGCAGAGGAGATACACAGAGACAAAGTAGTTCCTACTTTGTCCTTGTATATCTCTTGACTAGGTTGTTTTTTCAGTGAAATTCCAACACAGTCATAATGAGTATTTCATAAAGATTCTATAATGATAAATACAATTTTTCAAGGGGGGGGCAGTGCCGTTGTAAGAAAGTGTACATGTTTTTGGACTGAAGTCTTGGTGCAAATAACAATGGATCAATGATTGTATGATTGCTTGTACAATTTACTTGTATTGTGTTCTAGATTAATCTCCAAGATTAGGAGGTAACACTTACTTGATCTGCATGGAATTTAGAGTAGCTTGCAGGGGTGCCACCCACTCAAAACTTACCAGTGCTGTCACTGTGCCATGAATACTGAAAATCCTAGTGAACCAAATAATGTTTTTATACAGACACAAAGATAAAGCACCGCGCTTACAGCAGCAGTGGCTTAGTATCCAACAGCTTAAAATACATAGTAAAAACAAAGAAAAACGTTACCTGCGCTCTGGCCTAGAGCCCCATGTGCATTTGAACAAAAATGGAGGCTCTTTAGTTCTATTCTAAATGGCCATTTGAATATGTAAGCTCACCAGCCACGTCAAGGCAAGCCTCAATAGGTGAGTTCCTACACTAGCCATTAGATACGCTCACCTATTGAGGCTTGCCTTGACGTGGCTGGTGAGCTTACATATTCAAATGGCCATTTAGAATAGAACTAAAGAGCCTCCATTTTTGTTCAAATGCACATGGGGATCTAGGCCAGAGCGCAGGTAACGTTTTTCTTTGTTTTTACCAAATAATGTTTTTACATATTATGTGAAGATGTGGCCATGGGATAGAGGTTTTGCCATCCATTGTAAAATTTACCTGATACTTGCCGCTACTGGTGGATGATCATCTTAGTTGATGAGACGAAATGGATATATATATTTTTATCTACAGTACTCTCTCCTTGATACTTCCATCATATGCTTCTGTTAGGCGATGAAGAGCAATGTCACCCACATGAGTGCTTGAAAGGGGTTTGTGGAAGATCCAGCAATATACAGGTACCTTTGGCTATGAAATCCTCAAACGTGACTGTTCAGTTATAACAAAATAGGAAGCAAATTTCTAGTAATGCTATAAATGAATGTATACAGTTAAATAGCTATTTTATGACAATGAAGAGATAGAATATTAATACATACAATTTATAGTCACAAATGG